AGGATGGAAAGGCCAATGGAAAGATGAGAGAAGAAACAGACACAAAGAGAAAGGGGACACAGAGACAGGGTGAGGTGATGCCTGGGTAGGAACAGCAGTCAGTAAGCTTTTGCTGCCACAGCGGGGTTTGACCGAGCTGCCCACTGAAGCAAGGTGGTTTTTGAGGGACATGGTGGGTCTGCCTGGAGCCCGACTGCTTTGCCAGTCTACTCTTCCAGCCAGATATAAGTTTCTGCTTATTTCTTCAACTAACCTGACAGAAGTACTGATTGAGGTCACTGTCAGAGCAACTCAAATGGCTGATGTCACAAGTGCAACTTCAGTTAACAGAAATCCTACAGGTCGGGAGACACTGTGTTACCGACATGCAGCCTGGCTTTATCTAAAATAAAGTTTAGAAGAGATATTTTGCTAGAAGAGTGCATGACTTTCACAAAATTATTTGTAAGTGCTATTGGCATGATATGAAAATAAAATTTTCCTAGAATTAAATACCAGAAATCTTTGCATCCTACACAGAATACGGAGTACAGATATCTCCTGCAGCTGATTAAGAATTAATCTGAGTACTTTGTTAACCAACAGACTAATGGGGAAGGAAATGTTAAAAATGGAGGTGTTTTTCCTCTGTGTATAAGTGAACTGATTAACAGTTTGTGGGCCAAGGCAACATTTCTTAGCAAAACAAAATAAAATTCTCTTTGAGTTCTAATCGCCTCAAAGACCTAGGTAAATGGGAGAAGCTGAAGCTCTGCACCACAAGGCAGAATTACAATGATATTTTTCTATAATACAGCAAAGTACAGTGGGCAGTGCTTCTCAGCCACGACATTCCCTCGTTTCCTCATGGAACATCTACTCCAGCATGGCAATGTTAGAAAGAAGCAAGAGAGTTTTAGAGCTAACCTGCTCGAAACAGTGGTTTCAGTTTTATTAATGATGTTTGTATCTGGGGTCTTTTACTTATCAGAGTGAGTCTTAGTCATAAGAATGAGATCAGAAGTGAAACATTGAACAGAATGGGAAGAGATTGGAAAAATTACAAAATATGCATATTCATATACATAACCCGAACCCTAACCCTAACCCTTGGGGAAGTCAAACTGTGGGACCAGGACAGGAGTTGGGTAATTGTGTAATTACATAAATTTCCCCTAAGTCATTCTGGTTTGCTTGTCTGATTAAGGGGTTAAGACCAATTCTCGGTGAGAGACCGACTTCTAGATGTAACTGTCAGGACCACTTTGGGGTCTTGTCACCATATTAGTTGTAATTCACTTTTGCTTAATTTAATTGCTCCGACAGCTGTGCATTTCAATGACTAGGATCTTTTAAAAAATATCTTCTGTGGTGTATGTTTTAAGAGCTCCCCAATGGATTCCCGAAACCTCAAGTCATAGCCAACTCCCTGTATGCCATGCTTTTTTCCTGTACGGTACTTACATATCTGTAATAAAGTTTTTAATAAATTAGTTGCTGTGATAGATTAATAACTAACTAAAAATAGAACTACTGTAGTAATACACCTATAAAAGTTTAATGAATGTGATTCTCTCTCAAAATATCTTATCTTATCCTCCCCTTTTTTATTCTTGGCATGATGTGTGAGGGTATAGGGCCTGAATGGTGAGATGAACTTAGGTGAATGATGTAGGCAATATGATGTAACGTTAATCTACAATTGAAATTTCTACTTGAGTATGAGCACTGTTGTACTGTGACAGTCCAATAACTGAGATGGCTACCGAGTAACTAACAGGAGGGTAGCATATAGTGTGGAGACACTAGACAAAAGGATGGTAAATGTCCTGGGCAGGTTGTAGAGGGTCGGCATGAGATTTCATCATGCTAGTTATGGCACACAGTTCGAAATTTACAGTGTTTAGTTCAGAAAATTTCCATTTACTACATTGCATTATATAGTAATTGACTATAGTAATTGAAATTATGGAAAACAAAACTGAATAATCACTGTACATTTCAAAGAGGGACCACTTACACTTACTTCAAGTTTAGAATTAGGTCTTCATTACTTTTCTAATTCAAAGTGTTCACTAGAAAACCAGGCATATTATATTACACGATGTTGTTTATTTGCATCTAATAAAATATAAATAAAAACAACAAATATCTGTTGGAAGAAATTGATTTTGTAAACATTCTTAAATTTAAAGTTCTTATCCTTAATTTGGTATTTCTGAGCCAAACAAACTAAGGTCTAAAAAATTAAGATTTGAAATTTACATGCAAGATACTAAGAAAAACTTAACAGCAAGAGTTTCCAAATGTTTTTAATATTACTAATTTAGGTAAAAAATTTCCCAGATTTTAGAGGGTGTTACACTAAAAATATTAAAACCACTAGAGTTATTGACTTTCAGTTCCCTGACTAGAAAAATTTTCTATTTTGCATATCTTTGTAATATAATACTGGAATTGATATTGAAAAAATGTTCTACTCCTTTAAGTACTAGAAATGTACTGCTGGGCAAATTTATAACTTTAAAAATCCCTTAACATTATTCCATTCACTTATAAAATTGTGTTATCTGCCATATGGACAGCTTTTAAAATGGAGAAAAAATAAATTATACAAGTATATTCCAATAGTTCCTATAAAAAACATTTAATAATTATTTTTCTCTGCCAAGCTTTGGAAACTTGAATAAAAAAGAGCATTGTAATTACAAGGATTCATTTAAGTCATCGTTTTAGCCACAGACTCCTTGGTTTCTGTTATTGTAGAATAATTTAGTCTTTGAAATTTTTTTCTTCATCCCAACAGGTTTCATATTTTGAATAAAATGTAAAGCTGTACATTTCCTATTCCAGTTACTTTTACTTTGGATTGTCTCTGGACAGAAAGTGAGTAGGGCATGTTAGACATTTGCCTAAGCAGCTCTAGCCAAACTAAACAGAGACTGTAGCTGTAAGGAGTATTATCACAAAAGTGTTCCATAGTTGAAATTATCTAGATAATTACCTCAATTCTTGTTTCACACTGTGTACAAATAATATAGCTAGAATTACAGTAATATTAGGGACGCATTCTAGCCAAATTTTAAAAAGTTTTATTAGTATATATTAATTTTACAAAATGTTGTTTCAATGTGGCATTCTCAGAGATGCTTGCACTATATTTTAATCATATCTATCCCCTTAATTGTCCCTCAAGTCATCCCTGAATCATGGGCTTAGTATCCCCTTCCTCTGGCCTGATAGAGTCTCCTTTATATGTTCATGTCGTCTTTCATTTTGAAGTTCTTGTATTAGGGAAAACGTGTGATACTTATCTTTCTGAATCTGGCTTATTTCACTAAGCATGATGATCTTCCAGTTAAATCTATTGTCCTGCAAATGACGTAATCTTGTTCTTTTACTATGAATGATAATACTCCATTGTGCATGCCTATCACCTTGTCTTTGTCCATTCATCTGTCCCTGGCACCTGGGTCTTGGCTACCATGAGGTGTACCTCGTGAACATGGTGTGTAAACATACAGTGTGATGGCTTTCCTTCAGGTGTATACAAAGGAGTGGTGTGTCCAGGTCAAATGGAAGTTGTACTTTTAGTTTCTTGAGGAAATGCTACTCTGATTGTCATAGTGATTGACCTAATTTGTATTTTGACCAGCAATGTAGAAGGGTTCCTTTCCCTTACATCCTCGTCAGCATTTATTGATTGACTGATTCTTGATGACAGCCATTCTGACTGGGGTGGGATGGAATCTCAGTGTGGTTTCGATTTGCATTTCTCTGATGACTGATGTTGAACACTGTCTCATGTTGATTGGCCACACAGACTTCCTTGGAGAAGGGTCCATTTCCTTTGCCCATTAGCTGGTCAGGTTATTTGTTTTTATGATGCTAAGTTTTAAAAAGTTCTTTATATGTTAGAGATATTAATCTTGTGTCAGAAGAGCAACTGGCAAAGATTTTCTCTAATGCTGTAGGCTTCTCTCGACTTTGCCCAGTTTCTTTTGCTATGCAGAAGTCTTTTAACTTGATTGTACCATTCGTTGATTATTGTCTAGATGAATTTTAATTTCAAATTATTTTTATGAGTTCCTTAGTTTAACAACTGCATGGGGTTATCTTATTGTCTTCTGCCATTTGTTGTGTCTGTTGGAGAATGAGGTGGTACAATTATCATAATCTAAACTTACTGCTTTAAGGTTGAGTTTCAAAACAAAAGATGACTAATACTTCAAAATATGTCCTGAGGCACCGAGTTATTTACATTTCTCAGAGGTGCTAGGGATGTGATACATGGTGAGAAGCCTTATTTTGAGATCTTGATGTTCCTTGCATAATCTCCCCTTGGTACTCTACACTGAAAAAAGCGAATTACGTATGTGTGTGTAAATTGTTTTTATTAACAACAATAGTTTAAGCTTCTAAGTGAATATGGAGAACACTATCAAATAGTTTGATATCTTATTTACATTTTTAAACCTTCCAAAATTTAGAAATGCTGTAGCTGTAGCACTAAAATGTTAAGTTAAACTTTGGTGTTTGTTTTAGTGGCAGTCCCTCAACCAAAAGGAAAACAAAAAGCCATTGTATATGCAGAGAAAATATTCAATTGATTTGTAAAAAGCTCATACCTTGATTCACAGAACTTTAGGTTCTCAACAGGTGACTCCTGGGACTTAGGAAAAGGCTAGGGTGACCTGCATTTGGGGGTTGGGTGAGCTTCTCGAGTGCTCACAGCAGGGCGTGTGTGACAGGACTGGACATGGGGATGCTGTGGTGTGAGAGGGCCCTGGTTACCAGGAACTGAGCTGGAAGGCCCCTGTCTCTCTCCCTGGTTCTTTCCTTCTCTCTCAGCTTCCTGGGAATCTTAATGTGAATGTCTCTTCTGCTATGTTGTTTCTTCTTTGGAGCAGACTGACCATGGACCTAAAAGTGAGCCAAAATAAATCTCTCCCTAAAGTTCTGGGTGTTGGATATTGTGTACCGGTGACAAGAAAGTGACTGAGGCAACTCTTGTTTTTCAGAACTGTCACCTGTGACATGTGACTGAGAGAGGGCTCTGGCATCAGATTGGAGCCATATTGCTCAGGTATAAGACTCAGCAATCCAGCATTGTAATTGTCTGACCTTCCAAACTTACCTGAAAACTATGCTTTTCAGCTTCTTCATCTGCAAAATGAATCAGGAGTGGCACAAGCCCCACTGACTAGTGGTGAGTTTCCTAAGTAGTTGTAAGTTTTGTACAAAGTGCTTAGTATGAATGGTGTCCATTCTGCAGCAAGTGCTACTACTAATGTGACAACTGACTCATTCAGACAGAATGACACCTTTTATAAGAATTACACAAAAATCTACTTGAAAAATTATCATTTCATTTTGATCCCTTGTCTTGGAAACATTTCTACAAATGCAGTTTAATATGTGTGGGAACCACCTAAAAGAGGAGAGAGACGGAAAGGGATCCCAGGGAAGGCCTTGGATATTTGTCAGCACGAGAGAACGGGTACTAACACTGCTCTCCATATTTCTACACTCCCAGTCTGCATTGGGAGAAGAAAAGGTTTTCTGCAAGACCAGTTTTGAAAATATTTAATGGCGCTAAGGGCTATGAATCTAGGCTGTGAGTATTAGTCATGAAAACGCCAATGGAAAAAAGAAATAAAAACTGAGCAACCAAGAAAGTCAAATTTGTAGACATGTGGCTATAATTTGATTATAGAAACACACACGTTTTTACACCTGCATGACAAAAAGCTACAGAGAAGCTGAAAACAAGGGCAAAATTAAAAGAGGAAAAGACAGTGGAGAAAAATAAAATAGAAAAAAGGAGAAAGGAGTAATTATTGATTCATCATTTTTTCAGAGAGGACTCTGCAGGGGGTGAAAATCAGAATGAAGAAAAACAGCAAGAAAATTCTGCATTTTCTGATTTGGAACACAGAAGTGAAAAGCTCCTTAAAGATTTCCAGAGAATGAGGGCTCAGAGAACTGAGTTCTGCCCCAGGTATTTTAAATTGATATTGGTAGCTGCACTGATGAGCACAGACTCACTGGGCATAGCCAATGAAAATGTAAGCATTCAAGCAAAGTTAAGTTTATTTTTCACTCAGGCCACAGTAGGTGTTCTTTAGGTTGAAAGGCAGAGTGATGACACTATTTATCCAGTCTTTCAGGATGAAGACTATGCTGGCATCTTCAATTTATGTCTTATATAGATGCTTCTTTTTTTCCTGTTCCAGCCAATGGAAGAGAAGAGCACATTGGCTTGTGCTGCAGGCCTGGAAATAGAACACATCAGTCATTTCTGGATGCTTGTCATTGGAGGGAACCCAATCATGTGACTCCAGCTAAAAGCAAAGGACCTTAGGAAATGTGATACAGCTGTATGCCCAAGAAGAGACTATCCTCTGAGACAAGGTTAGCAGTTTCTGCCACCATTGGTGACATTGAAAGCCAGCAGATTTCACATGTAATGCACCTACATTACAACATTTAACTAGAATAAAAAGATTTTGCTGTGTTCTACAATACAGTGATTTTTGGGGTCAGGCATTAGCTCCCCTTTGGAAGGAGCATGCTGCCTAGGTGTGATATCACCTCCATTTTCCTTTTTGTACTAACCCAGGTACCGCTTTACATAAACATGACCAATTCATGCTTGAAATTAAGCCAGTGATTTAAAAAGTCTATTTAACCTAAAGCTTAGAATTTGTTTTTATTTGCTGAATTCTGATCAAAATCTTTTCTTTAAATGTATGGCTAGGGTCATCACTCTTCTGTAAATCCAATATATAATGTTATACTTGCAAGTACTTGTTATTCTGCAGGATGACTCCTTCCTAATTGGATGATCTAGAACCCATTCTCAGCTGCCTTATTTACAACCTAACTCTTCTTAGTGATTTGCTTCTACATAATTGTTCCAACATGTTAACATTTTTATAGAACCAAAAGCTTCCTTTTATTTCCTGCCTACATTTCATTGGGTGAAATGATATTTTAAAAGCTCATGCAATTACCATAATAAATATGTCTGACACAGATATGTTTGAGGATGCAACTGATTTTTAGTAAGTTTTAGGTGAAATTGTTGTCATAGAGCCCAATATGAAAACTATCAATCTGGTAGATGCTTCATTACACTTGACTGTCCAAAGTTAGATAAGTAAAATGAATGAACCAGCCACCCCTGGAGTGTTTTTTTTCCTGTAAAGTTAAAGGAAGGTTATGCCATGCCTACATTCCAATCCAAGAAACGTGGAAAGGAGAAAGACACAGTTCAATGCAATCAAGGTGATGACTTTTTCTCATTGTTACATTCATATGCTGTTTCCCAGTGTAGAGTTAGATACACAGCTGCAAGATGGCTGGAAAAATATAGTCTATTGCTGGCCATTTATTCAGATAAAGGCAGAAATGTGACAATTTAAAAGAAGAAGAGAATTAAATCTATCCCCCTGTAGTCTGAAGAAACTGAGTAAGCAGCAAAATCTTCATCATTAGCTTGCACTGCGTAACAAACCAACAACTGCTTAGAATGACAAATATTCATTACTCTTCCTGGGTTGGTGCATTAGCCAAGCAGTTCTTTTCTGGCTGGTAAATTTACTAGAGCTGTTTGATTTAGGACCCCCTCTCCCACTAGGATGTCTCATTTTTGATCCATATCATTTCTCATTTTCTCACAGACTAATCTAGGTTTCTTTTCAGAGATTTCTCAGTGCTCCGTAAAACTGCAAGGATGCAAGCTTTAAATGCAAGAGCAAATCAGAAGCTCTGCTGGGAATATCTGCTAAAGTTCATGGCTCCCAGCATATCACATGGCTGTCCCCACAATGGAGGAGAGGATGTTATGTCATGATGTCATGATGTTAGAGACATCAATAATACATTGGATACAAGCGAACCTAGAGGAAAGGGAGGAACTTGTGGCTACTTTTTGAAATCTACAACAATCAAGAAGCAATATATTAACTTTAAATGTCCAATGTTGTAGTGACTAAGTAGAGTCTGTTAAATGAAGCTTAGTAAATAGAGCTGTTTGCTATGTGATTTGTTCCTTGAAAGAGCGGTGGCTGCTGACCATCACCACTAGATAGGAATGGTGTGATTCTCAAGTGATTTCTTAGAAAGGACAAACTGCACAAAAATGTGATGAATTGAATGCACTGAAATTAAGAACTATTAGATTTGAAGATAAAAACACGAAATGGCAACCAGAGATTCATTGTTTATATAACTTACTTAAAAAACAAGTTTGATGCTTAGAATAGATTTTTAAAAATCTTGGAAACCAATAAGGAACAGATAAAGTACTCTGCTGAAAAACCACCAAAAAAGCACAACAGGGCCATTTTATAGAAGATGGCACTCAGAGGTCGGTACATACATGAAGAGATTTAACTTCCTTGGCAAGTAAATGCAAGTGCAAATTTTGTCACATATCTTTTTCACTGCAAAACTTTGGGACAAGGTAAAAAGCCAGGCAGTAATGAATGTTGCAAATGAAATAGTGACAGCGTCTGTGTGTGTGTAATTATTTTATACATTTCAAATATGGTGGGCTCCCAAAGTTCATATAAGATTTTTAGAGCACCTGAAAATTGTGAAAAATTGCAAATTTCAAATATAGTCATAACAATGCCTAGAAATGCCTGTTTTTACCATTTAAGCCTTAAATATGCTCTCTTGTCCACAGTGATGTAATTTAGTTTAATAAAGCACTGTATTAACAAAGCCTAAGGAGGTGCAGGGAATCTTGCAACATTTTAGGACTCAGACTTTAAGAAGAACAGAAGCAGAGCGCTGGAGACAGCGTCACGTGGTACAACACACTGTTATGTTGCGGGATGCTGGAGCATCTGCCCTGGATGGGTCCAGGCAGCAGCCAATCAGCAGCAAGAACTAAATAACGCTCCTGGGTTCCCTGCTTGTAAGCCCCACCCCTCCCCCAAATTGCAGAGAATATTAGAGATTTTTATGAAATTGTGGGGGTGTTCACCAACAATTATTAGTTAGGTTTCAAGGAAAATCTGCAAAAGATGGATGGCTCAAACTGTGACACACAGTGGTACTGCAGTACAGATTCCACGACCCAGAGAACCATTCTTTTTTTTTTTGGTCTTTTTCCTTTTTATCGGTACCAGGGATTGAACTCACGACTGCCTGCTTCCAAGGCAGGCGCTTATGCCACTGAGCTAAATCCCCAGCCCCCAGAGAACCATTCTTGAAAAATACTCCCCATGAATTTCTCCCTAAATGTACCAGGAAGCATGTGAATTATGTTCACAATAAAAGGGAAGGTAAAAACAAGTGCCTGAAAACAATCTAAATATTCACTGACATGAGAAAATATACCTTTAAAACTTTTACCGACTGTAATTATACAGCTAAGTCTCTCCCTAAGTGAAAGAAGGAATTTTCAGAATAAATAAAGTATGAATACCATTGTGAAAAACTTTCAAACTTGCACTGAGGACACACATTGCAAAAACAGAATAAGAGATAAAAATTTAGGACAGTGGATTGGAGAACAGGTTGGATAGAGAACATGAGAATGTGAGCAAATATGTATTTCATGGGATTATTATTCTTTATTTTTATAAGTTCTGTTATATATCAGTATTATTGCTATATATGTGTCATATTTTTAAAACAGGAGTTGGCCATATGTAGGCTATTATCAGTTACCATTTACAATCAGTGCTTCCCAAAATACCACACTAAGCGGTCAGCATTCCTAAAGGTCTGGGGTGCTCCCAAAGGTCCTCACTTCCCTGCACAGCTGTCCTTGAATTCTCTAGTGACGCTTAAACATTTAACATTAATTTTGTATGCTACTCCATGTTCCCCAGTGGTGATTTTTAGGTTAAAAATAAAGCCATTTCCCTAAATATCTCGTGGAATTAAGTTTGAGGAAGATGAACCATTTAATCCTACGACTTTGAAGACTTCCCAGTGGACTATGGCATACTTGAATAATAAATATTGGCTTCCTGAGACCAGAGACTGTAAGGAGAGTCTTTTAATTCTGTGGTCATTGCAATACAAAAGCAAAGCAAAAGAGGGCCAGAGACATTCATCATATTCTTATTCCTCATGGTACCATTATCGAGGTCACATATTACACTATAAATGTAATTGCTGCTAGATTGGCTGCTCACCTGCATCAGGCAAGAATCTTTACTCATACTTCCGAAGGTCTAGTGGACAAGAGCAGAGAATAACCATTACCTGAAAAATTCTACTTTGCCAAGCTCTCATTTCAACTACATTTTTGCAGTGATCATCTTTTTCCTTGTATTATTTTGAGGAACATAAGTCATCTATAGATTAAGAAAATCTGATTGCAAAAGAGAAACAATTCATTTGATTTGATAAATTTAGCTTTTGATGTCACAGTTTTACATTTTATGATCTACCTGTTGCCAGTACAATTCACAGAGGAACCACTCCTTCTGTGGAGACCAGCTCCAACCAGATAGCCACAGAGGGACAGGGGTGTTTACAAGTGCCAAATGGATATCGGATATGGATATCCGGAGAGTAGCGCTGAGTTGGAACATAGGGAGAGCGCTCTTTAGAGGTGGCTCCTTAAATGTTTGTTGAATAAATGAATTAAGGACTAGTGAGAAGTCTTGGAGTGTTGTGTGATGGCAAGAAGATGCAAAAGAAAACCAAGAAATAGAAACAGGAAGTAGAAAACTAATCAAACTAATTTTTATAGAATAGAGTAAGACTGTTGAAGTGGGTTTTGTTGCCAAGTTCATGGGGTATATTACACCAATGAAGTGTGCCAGCCTTCGGGGAGGGAACCTATCTTTATTCAGCCATCTGACATTTACCTTCATTCGTTCTTCCAGCATCCCCCAACATTTATAAATATCTTGCTTGTGTATAGGAACACAGAGAATATACAGACCTATTCCTCAGCTCCTAGTCCCCTAACAACTAACAGAAATGAAAATTGAGAAATTCTTTTGGGTAATGTGAAGCCAAAGGACCTCAAGAAAATTATAAATCAACAGAAACAAAACCACCGGAATACACATGGCAAAATCTATCAGACCTGATTAGTGATTATTAAATAAAAATGGATGGATTTAGAAGGTAGAACTATGATTGGCAATTGATTCTTATAAATCTATGAATCAGTACAAAGCATACCTGTATCTTAACCTGCATACCAACTCCTGATTTATAGAGTTCTATCAGTTCTAAACAAAAATTATCTTTCTACACAAGAGTTTAAAAAGAAAGGATCATAGCAAAACTATTTTTTCAATCCACTGTATTGAAACAGAGTCCAAAATCCAAGATAATTACAGTGGAGGCAGAATGAATATTATTAGTTACAGAGGAAGAGTTTGCAATAGCTTATCCTTACTGGTGGAAGTAATAACAAGGGAACATAATTTCCTGGAAAAATAGCAAGTTCCATGAGAATATATGAATGGATGGAAGAGTCGAGAGAGCTAGGGGGCAGATCAAAAGGTAAGTTTAAACTCAGAGGTCAGGGGCATGTTGTTCTCTTTGCTAGAGGATTGATTCTATCTCCTTATGGTTAACATATAAATAAATCTCAGAATTCAGCATTTCTAAGTCAAAATTGGAATGCAACTGAAAGTACTCTGCGTTAAATGTTATTCACATGTCAGTGATTATTATTACATAAAAGGGATTTTTATTACATCTCTTAATCTTCTGAAATGTAACGAAAAAGCTAGTTTCATTTGATATAAATTCATTAGTGCTTGTTATATATTCATAAAACATTGTTTGAGGTTAGGAAACCACTTTAATTCTTCCTAATCATTATCATCTTTCATTTTCTGTTAGAACTAACTTTTTTGGTGTGAAGAGAAGGATGTACAACTCACTAGCAAAATTATCTGAGAGACTTTTTAACTCACAGTGAACTCTTACCCAGTTATATTAGCTGCAGCAGTGCAAAAGCTATAATCTTCATATGTATATTTGAAATTTCAGGACCAGAATCTGGCAGCTGGTGAAGCTAGTTTCCTCTTCTTTAT